GACCATGTCTGTCTCATTCGCAGCAGAACTTTCGACACATAATCAACACTTGATGCACACTGGCTTAATAAATACTGCACCCCTAAACATCTTCCTGGAGCCCCGGTGGCGTAGTGGTTAAGTGTTTAGCTGCTAATCAAAAGGTCACCAGTTCAAATCCACCAACCGCTCCTTGGAAACCCTATGGGGCAGCGCTCCTCTATCCTATAGGGTCACTATGAGTCAGAATCGACTCGATGGCAATGAGTTTGATTTTTGGTTTTTAAACATCTTTTGTGAGGCAGTGGTGGTTTAGTAATAGAATTCTCGTCTTCCTTGTGAGAGACCAGGTTCAATTCCCAGCCAATACACCTCATGCACAGCCACCACCCTTCTGTCAGTGGTGGTTTGCATGTTGCTATGATGCGGAACAGGTTTCAGCAGAGCTTCCAGACTAAGATGGACTAGGAAGAAATGTCTGGCGAGCTACTTCTGAAAATCAGCCTATGAAACTGTATGGATCACAATGGTCTGATCCCCAATTGATTATAGGGATGGTGCAGGACCAGGCAGCGTTGTTGTTGTTGTTTCTAAAATTTATGACTTTTATTTTTCTTGTTCTGTTACACTGACTAAAGCTTCTTGTACAATACTGATTATAAGTGGTGAGATGGACATCCTTGTCTTGTAATTGATCTTAGAGGAAAGCATTCACTGTTTCTCTATTAAGCAGGATATTGTTAGCTCTAGGTGTTTTATAGATGCCTCTACCAAATTAAGGAAATTCTCTTCATAGTTTTTTTTTTTTTTAACGTTTTATTTGCTTTAGGTGAAAGTTTACATATCAAATTAGTTTCCCACTCAACAGCTCATGTCTTAGTCATCTAGTGATGCTATAACAGAAATACCACAAGTGGATGACTTTAACAAACAGAAATTTATTCTCTCAGTCTAGGAGGCTAGAAGTCCAAATTCAGGGTGCCAGCTACAAGGGAAGGCTTTCTCTGTCGGCTCTGGAGAAAGGTCCTTGTCATCGATCTTCCCCTGGTCTAGGAGCTTCTCAGCATAGGGACCCTGGGTCCACAGGACGTGCGCTCTGGGCTCTGCTTTTCTGGTGGTATGAGGTCCCCATGTCTCTCTGCTCACTACTTTTATATCTCAAAAGAGATTGACTTAAGACACAACCTAATCGTGTAGATTGAGTTCTGCCTCGTTAACATAACTGCCACTAATCCTGCCTCATTAACATCATAGAGGTAGAATTTACAACACACAGGAAAATCACATCTGATGATAAAATGGTGGACAATCACACAATACTGGGAATCATGGCCTAGCCAAGTTGGCACATATTTTTGGGGGACACAATTCAATCTGTGACAGGTCATACACAAGTTATTCCATGACACTGGCCACTATCCACGCAATGTGTCAGCACTCTCCCCATTTACAGCCTGGGTTCCCTGTTTCCATTCGTTTAGTTTCCCTGCCCCTTGCTACCTTCCTGTCTTTGGTTTTGGGCAAATGCTGCCCCCTTGGCCTCATATAGTTGATTGTTCTAAGCAGCACATTCCTCACGAGTGTTACTGTCTACCCATTGGGCCTGTCTACTACTTGGCTGAAAGGTGATCTCCGGAAGTGGTTTCAATTAGTTTCAATTTTTGAAGTGGCTTCAAAAAGTTAGATGGATATCTTAGGGCTATAGTCTCAGGGGTTCCTCTGGTCTCTGTCCAACCAGTAAGTCTTATCTTTTTTGTAAATTTGAGTTTTGTTCTACATTTTTCTCCCACTCTAACAGGGATCCCACTCTACTGTGATCCTGGTCAGAGTGGTCGGTGCTGACAGCCAGGCACCATCTAGGTCTTCTGGTCACAGGCTAGTAGAAGCTGTGGTTCATGTAGGCCATTAGTCCTTTGGACTAATAGCTTCCTTGAGTCTTTGGTTTTCTTCGTGCTCCTTTGCTCCTGACGTGACCAGACCAATAGTTCTGTCTTAGATGGCTGCTTGCAAGCTTTCAAGACCCGGGATGCTACTCACCTTGGTAGGACTCAGAACATTATCTTTATGAACTATATCGTGACCAGGCAGCATTTTGTTCCATTGCGCATGGGGTCGCCAGGAGTTCTAATCTACTTCTGAAAAACAGCCAATGAAAACCATATGGATTAATGGTCCAATCCACAACCTATCATGGGGATGGCACTGGACTGGGTAGGGTCTCATTCCATTGCAGATGGCATCACCATGAGATGGGGACTCATTTGACGGCAGCTAACAACAAACATCTCCCAGTTCTCTATACGTAGCGGGTGCTACTCCAGCCTGTCTTTTCACCTTCTTTCAGTCCTTTCCTGCTTGACTCAGAAACTCAGCCCACAAAGAAATGGGGACTTGTGCCACCCCAAACTCCTTACCTCCCTACCTCTCTTTGTTCATTCTGTTTCCTGCACACAACAGACCTCCTTCAAGCAACATCTTAAGCACTATGAAAGATCTTCTGATCCCCAATACACAATGTTCTGTTCCCGCTTTGAACCCCAAAATATGTTGTAATTAATGGCACCTCTCCTGTCCTGCCTGCCTTAACATCTCCCCGCCTCACCCCTCACTTCAAGAACCAAAGGTGCTTGAGGTCAAGCCCTACAGCTGCCACAGAACATTGCATTTAGGAGGGACGCACATTTGCTTTGATTGAAAGTCAAATGTCTATCTTTTCCTCCATAATTTCTTCCCTTTTCCATTTCTGCCACTGCCACCTATTCCTCCCATTTGTCTTGCAACCACAGACCTTTTAAAAAATAGATTTAAAATAAGTTTTTAGTCTTATTACAGTATTATAAGCACATCATTTTAAAAAATGAAATTGGCTTCTAATATAAACAATAGTGCCCCACTCCCCCCTTCCCCACCCCACCCTCATTTCCACTTTCAGCTCTCTTAACTGTTCCTTCTGCAATTTATCTCCATAATATTTCTCGATTTACCATTTTTAAGATTTTTCCTGACTTCCTATTATGTAAAATGAGGATTTAGCACTTATACCACTCACAGAGTTTCTCTCTCTCTGCCCCATTTCCGCATAGATAACGATTTTTGGTTAATCCCTATTCGGTGTTTATGTTACGACAATATAAAATGTCCAAATATTGTTCAGTGCTGAGCCAATTAATGCATTATGATTACATTTTATTTCTTGTACAATCTTCTGCTTTTCCTGGAGTAACTGTCTCTTTTTTTCCATTTATTTTGTTTTCTATGTACCTATCACTTATTCTTCCCAAACTATCCATATAGATTGGAATCATCTTTAATTCCACCCCCAAACATCAAGCCTTGTTCCTGATCCTTTGGAATGTCTCTTGCAGCAGTACTGTTCCATTTCCCCTGCGGGGCCTCCCTCTCTCTTCTCACCTGGGCACTGCTATTTCAGTAGGCTTATTCCTATATGTGAAGGCAGTAGTGGTTCAGTGGTAGAATTCTCTCCTTTTATGCCAGAGACCCGGGTTTGATTCCCAGCCAATATACCTCAAGCACCCTGGTGGCACAGTGATTAAGCATTTGGCTGCTAACTAAAAGGCTGGCAGTTCGAATTCCCCAGCCGCAACTTGGAAACCTATGGAGCAGTTCTACTCCATCCTATAAGGTCACTGTGAATCAGAATCGATTCAACAGCTATAGGTTTATTTTTTTTTTAATACCTCAAGCACAGCCACCACCTGTCAGTGGCGGCTTACGTGTTACGGTAATGCTGAACAGGTTTCAGAGGAGCTTCTAGAATAAGGTGGACTAGGAAGGCCTGGAAATCTACTTCTGAAAATCAGCCGATGAAAACCCTATGGATAACATTAGTCAGATCCAATTGCATATGGCCATGAGTCGGGGGCCGAACAGATTGCAGCCAACACCACCATCCTATGAAGACTGAGACTAAGGAGGTACAAACAAGAAGTTGTCTTCAGCTCCAGCCAGCTTCCCTGCCTCCAGTCTCAACCTTATCTGAAATCAACCTACAGATTAAGACAAAAGTGCTAAGAAGAACCTTTGAAGCATGTCAAACCCTGGCCCCCTCCAAAAACTTTCTAGAGACTCTCTGTCACCCACAACAGAGGTTTCCAGCCCCGGCTGTGCATCAGAATCCCCAGTGCTGCTTTCTGAAATTCCCAGGACCCACCCTGGGACTATTGAATCAGAATCTCCAGAAGTGGAAACCGAAAATTCCTATTTTTAACAAGCCAGTAGCTTTAGTACAGTCCCATCCACAACCAATCATGAGGATGGTACAGGACAAGGCAGTGTTTTGTTCCGTTGTGTATGGGGTCATCATGAGTCAGGGGCCGACTTGACAGCAGCTAACAACAACTAGCTTTAGTATTTATCATAATTGTCATATTGTTGTTAGTTGCTGTGAAGTCTATTCCAACTTATGGCAATCCCATGTGTGCAGAGTAGCACTGCTCCACAGGGTTTTCAAGGCTGTGACCTTTTGGAAGAAGACTGCCAGACTTACTTCTGAGGTGCCTCTGGGTGGGTCTGAACCGCCAACCTTTCCATTAGTAGTCCAGTGCTTAGCCATTTGCACCACCCAGGGACTCCAACAAGCATCATACATGTGAGCAATTTGATGAATGCCTGTCTCTCCCATCAGACCTGTCAGGGACAGCACAGCATACCTGGCAGAGAATAAGTGGGAGCTCAATAAACTTGTGGAACAACAGGACTGAATCCACTATGCTACAGAAATCACCAAATTCCAGTGGGCATCAGAAATACATGGTGAGCTTATTAGAAAACAGATTCCCAGGCCCAGAGGAGTGCTTCAGCAGGAATCATCATTACCAGCATTCCTTATGATGCAAATGCTCACCAGTTTAAGAACCTCACAGGTTAATTTGAAGTGAACAAAATCGCCAGACCCAAGGCTCTAGGATTCAGTTTTTAACAAAGGGAGTGAGTTCAGAGGTTGACAATCCCTACCCTTCCTCTTCCAAGAGGTTAAATGAAAAGACTCCAGAGTTCTTTATTTTGCCTTTCTTTTTTAATTCCCTCCTTGTCCAAATCTCAAAAAATTATCCAGAAAACCCAGAAATTAAGCATAAGGGAGCTCAAAGAGCCAAGGCAAGCCAGCCCAAAAGGAGCAGGCTCCCTCCTACTGGGGCCAAAGGCTGGACGCTGGGGTCTCCACTCAGGGCCTGGTAGTAAAAGCTGGTGCAGAATAATGTGGTTCCAGAGGTGAGCAGTAACCCGGCCTGAAGGAGACACAGAGCGAAATACAGCCTTGTAAGAACGGGGTGGGGAGGGCTTGAGAGGGAGCGTGGGGCCGGTTGGCCAGGGTTAGGCAAGGGGGAAAATTACCCAGAGGGGTTTTCTGCAGTGGGGCACCGCTAACAGGGCAAGGCTGTGTAAGAAGTGGTGTTTGTTGGTCTTGTCAAAGAGCTGCAAGAAAAGGAGAAATGGAGGAGGGGGGCTTCCTAACCAACGCAGTAGCCTGAGATCCCGTGGAGACACAAGGAACAAAAGTTCACACACACCCACCTCACCCCTGCAGTCCCAGCTTATCCCTCCCTCAGGCACCCACGCCTCAAGCCTGCAGTCCTTGTTGCTCGAGAGACCTGGGCTCCGCACCCCCTCTCCCCACACACACCCACTTCCCTTAGGCACCCCAGACTTCGTGCGCTCGTAGACCCGGAAGCGGGAAGCGGGGAACAGGGCAGTTACTTCACCTCCTTTCCGTAGGCATCCCGGAACTGGGCACCTGTAGAGAGGAGAGGCAAAGGTTAGGATGAACACCCAGTCCTACGGCCAGCCCCGGCCGCCCCCTCTCCCGGGGAACCCAGGTGGGAATTAGAAGAGGCTTCTGATTGGTGGAAACACACATCGGACAGTTCTGGGAGCCAACTGGACCGGGATGGGGGACTTTAAAAGGTTTAAGTCTCCGCGGGCTGCCTGGTCGATGGGAGATCGGGCACTTCCCGTAGGCTCCGCCCCTGCACCAGACCCCAAAAGTCGTTCCAGGGATGTCCACAATCCCAGTTCCAGCCCCTGTCCCCTGACCGTGCGCCCCGTAGGAGGCCAAGCCTAAGGCCCCGGCTCCGGACAAGGCGCCCAGGCGCCTAAAAACAGCCCCCGACGCGGCCATGGCAGTGGATGGTCACGAGCTGGGCGAACACCGCCCAGGCCACCCAAGAGGCCAGCCAATCCCGATCGCCCATGCAAATAAGTTACACATGTGCCCAATCCAGGCCGTGTTCATTTCAGTGTCTAGGTCCTCACCCGGGTACTTGAGCCTTTGTAAAACCGCTGCTGAGTGGCGAAGATGTCTGGCGGGCGGAGAAACCAGAACCAATTAGGAGCGGAGTAGAGGAGCGGTGGAGGGCGGGTTGAGGGCCGGACTAGAGGATTTACGTCATGGATTGGCCCACTTTCCAAGTTGATCGCTTCTTCTAATCACCACTACCCCCCGCCCGCCACCTCCGAACAATTTCCAAAGATCCCGGTCCCCAAGCAGAGTTCCGCCCCTTTCCTCCCAGGCTCCTCCTGTTCAGCCTCAAACCAGGCCCACTCCCAAAAAGAGGCAGCTCACGGAAACCCAAGCCCCACCCATCGCCATTAAACCACGCCCGCTTGCCTGTGGCTCCTCCTCCGAGCACGAAAGCTCCGCCTTCTCAATGTGTTGCCCCGTCCCCTATCGTTCTCCTCTGCTCCCCACCAGGCCTCAAGGACCCCAAGGGTGGGAGATCTGGGGGGATGTCTCCATTTTGCCCCGGCCTGCTACGTCCATCAGTCCTTCCGTCCACTCCCGCCCCCTTCCCCTGCCTCCAACCCCTCACACTCCAGAGGGCGGGCGGGCAGGCTGTTGCGAGCGAGGGGTGTGCGCCGCTCTCTCGGCAGGGGGCGGGGGAGGCGGCCGCGCGGTGACGCGCGGGGCTGCTGCGGCTGCTCCGCCGGCGGATCATCACTCTCGGGCTGGGATGGACGCGGGGCGGGCGGGCCCTGGCGCGCAGAGCCAGGAGTCCGGGCCTCCTGGCTACTGAGCTTTCCCTGAAACCTCCCCTCACCCTCGCCTTCCCTCCTAGAAGCCGTGGAGACTCGCCTGAGGCTCCCGACTCTACTCCCGCCCTCCTCTGACTCCCCGGACCTCCCCCTCCCGCCCGCCCTCGGGATCAACTGGATCCCTCCCCCTCCCCGAGGATTCCGGCTGGATCCTTGCCCCTGCACCGCGGATTCTGCGTTCCTGGGCCCCTGGCCCCTGGAGATTGCCGTGGACACCTCCTCCCGCACCCGATCCCTTAGGATCCTCCGCCTGGACCGCCTTTCGGTCCCTCGAAGCCGACCCACGAAGCCAGTGGGTCACTGATACAGTTCTGCCCCCTTGCGCCCTCCTCGCTCTGTCGTCCCCGCTGCGGGGTTCCCTGTTCCCCGGCTCACTCTGACCCCATCCCCTATCTCTCTTTTCCCCGGGGATCAACTGGATCCAGGCCCCGCCCCCCGGGGCTGGGGCGATCCCCCTCCCCCGCCGGGTGAAGCGCTGCGGGCGGGGGCTGGGCCTGCGGGGCCGCGGGGGCTCAGAGGCCGCCGCCCCCTTCCTGAAGCCCGTTCGCTCCCCGCTCGAAACCCTGGATGGAGGCACAACGGCCCCGGGGCTGAGCCAGGTAGGAGCTAAGCCGGGCTGGGTGAAGGGGTCTTCGTGGCAGTCCGTTGGGGTCTCCCTGTCCCCGTCTCTCTCCCTGCTCCTGATCTCCCCCAGCCTGCTCCGTCTGCGTGTCTCCGCCTAGGGATGCTCTCGCCGTGTCTCTGCGTCTCGGTCTCTTTGTCTCTGCCTCTCTTCAGTCTATGAATGATCCTTTGAATGGGCCCACAGACCCCGTGTGTTCCCATCTCCCCCTCCCCCTCTTTCTCCCCTTCCTGGTCAAGCCATTTTCCTCACTGCAGGAAGGCGGGGGGGGGCTGCGGCCTGAGCCCCTGTCCCTCAACTCTCCCGAGCTGGGGCAGTAAGGCCTGGGCCAGAATGGAGAGAGCAAGGCAGAGGGATGGGGAGAAGGAGGGGAGCAAGATGTGGCAGACAGTGATGGGGACAGCCGGGAGAGAAAATGGGGGAGACAGAAATAGGGAAAGAGAAAGAGAGAAGGGGCTTGAGGGAGAAATTTGGGGAAGGGATTTGGAGGAGAAAGATGAGAAACACCAAGGAGAGAGATGTAGGAGAGAGATGAAAAAAAGACTGAGACTGAAGGCAAGAGCTGGAGCAAGCTGGAAGAGGCCGGGGGAAGATGCTCTGAGGGAGCGCTATGGAGAGAAGAGAGACGGAGGGAGGGCTCCAGTGGGAAGGAAGCAGCAAGACATGCTGGCGGGGAGGAGGCCAGGGGCCCAAAGTACCTAGTAGGGGAGGGAGCTGACAGGCTGAGGGTGTTGGGGGCAGGGGGCTGCAAGGCCAAGGAAGCCAAGCCTAGCCTGGCAGGGGGAGAGGAGACCCCGGGGGAGCCAGCCCAAGCCCCCTCCAGGTGACAGGGGTACAGGAGCTTAAGAGAGCCTGACGGGGGGGAGGGCATGGCTGGGTGTGTGTGGTAAGGATTCCTGTGTCCTCATCTCTGGAATAAATTGACACCTGCAGAGAGCCACCCGCGGGCTGGCGCCTGGCTCTGAAAACCCCGAGTCAGCAAACAGCTTTGGCTGCTGGGGGGGGGGGGCAAGGGGGCTTGCTAAAATGACCTGGGTGTCTGCCCCTTTGGCCTAATCTCTTCCCAGACCCTGCTGCCCTGAGCACCCAGGCATCAGAGCAGCAACTGTGGGGGGCTGGCAAGGGGAAGGGAAGGTGAGGGGATGGAATGGTATAAGAAGGAAGCCAAGATCTGCCCCCAGGACGTGGGTCAGATGCTGGGCAGGGAAGAAGAGGTGCTGGGGTCCAAAGGTGTTCAAGAGTGTGGGAGGGGGCAGTCCGTGGGCTCATCTGAAGCCCCCTCAGGCCCATCTCAGCACCCCTTCTCCCCAGCCAGAGGCCTGGTCACTAAGGCCAAGCTCTGACTGGCCAACAAGGGGGGCAAAAGGTGAGTCTTTTAGGGTCCCCTATGCCCCCAATCTCCCTCCCCCACCAACATATATGCTTCTTCCTTTATTCTGAGGTTAGGGAAACTAGCATTCTGACCCACGCCTCTGTTCTCCCCGCCCCACGCCCTGAATGGACCCTAGGGCCTATCCAGCCCCTTCCCCTCTGCCTCCAGACCCCCACTCCAGGGTTAAAGCTGCTGCCCCGTTGCCGTTGCCGAGGTAACATTGCGGGGCAGCATCCTGTCGCCCAGCAACGGCCTACAGGATCACGCATCTGTCCCTGGATTTGCCCCTCCAACACCCCGTTCCTACTCTAGCCCCTGCCTCAAGGCACCCCAACTTCTGATGTAAAAAAACGGAGAGGGTCGGGGGAGAGAGAGGACCTGGGGCCCCACGGATCCTTAGGGAATGCAGTATTGAAGGGGGGAGACGGTGCTGGGCTTGTGCAGTCCCAAGAAAGACCGGAGCCTGGCCTGGGGTGGGGGTTCAGCGCCAAGAAATTACAGCTCAGGAGTAATTAACACGTAAAAACAAACCCACCACTTCCTGCTAATTAATGACTTGGTATTTTTATTTTCTCTTCCTTGTCTATCTCATTCCCTCCCAGGGAGGTGGGAACTGGGACTCCTGAGTTCCTGAGGAGAGCCCACAAGGGAGGGATAAAGGGTCTGAAAGGAGGTGTGCTGAATCTGGGGAGGTGACCCGCCTTCTCTCATGCTTTATCCTGGACGTTTACCGCATCCTGACCCCACCTCTTGCCTCTCTGACTTTTCTACCCGGCTCCCTACTGGGGGGAGGGAGAGCACTGGGGAGGCAGGGTAGGTCCCAGGGGCCTGGGGGTGGAAGAAGCGGGGCGACTTGGACTGAATTCCAGGTCACTAACCACTTGTCTCTTCTGTTTCCCGTTCCTTTCTGTCTGCCCCGTCCAATCTCCCTTCCCTTTTTTCACCTCTCTTCTGTATTTTTCTGTCTGTCTGTCTTTTGCATGCCCTGCCCTGTCCCTCCTCCTCTGCCTCCCGCAGGTCGGGCCTGACTTTCCCGTCTCCCACCTTCTCCCCCTTCCCCACCCCTTGCCCCCTCCATGGAGAGGAACAGACCCCATCTCGGTCCAATCTAACCCCGGTCCCTCCCCACCCCCCTCCTCCCTTTTATCCCCCCCCCGGCCCCCTCCTCCCTCCTGGGGCGAGGGGGGCCTCCCTCCCTCTCCCCCCCTTCTCTCTCTCTCCGAGGGGGGGGTCCCAGGGAGGGAGGGGGGTCCCCCGATCAGCATGTGGCTCCTGGCGCTGTGTCTGGTGGGGCTGGCGGGGGCTCAACGTGGGGGAGGGGGTCCCGGCGGCGCCGCTTCCCCGGTTGGCCCGGGCCTGGGCCTCAGCAACCTCGGGGAGGAGCGCTTCCCAGTGGTGAACACTGCCTATGGGCGAGTGCGCGGTGTGCGGCGTGAGCTCAACAACGAGATCCTGGGCCCCGTCGTGCAGTTCTTGGGCGTGCCCTACGCCACTCCACCCCTGGGCGCCCGCCGATTCCAGCCGCCTGAGGCCCCCGCCTCTTGGCCCGGCGTGCGCAACGCCACCACCCTGCCGCCCGCCTGCCTGCAGAACCTGCACGGGGCGCTGCCCGCAATCATGCTGCCTGTGTGGTTCACGGACAACTTGGAGGCGGCCGCCACCTACGTGCAGAACCAGAGCGAGGACTGCCTGTACCTCAACCTCTACGTGCCCACCGAGGACGGTAAGGGCGCGGGCACCAGTCCGTTCACCCCATGGACACAGCCCACAAACGCACACGCAGACCCTCAGGCACTGGTGCGACGCCTGTGCCGGTGGGGGCAGTGCCGGGCAATGTGTCCCTGAAACCTCAGCGTGCCCTCCGAGGATGGTAAGGGTGCCTGCCAGGCAGACCCAGGAACCAACCCACAGACAGCCACCCCGGAAGTTCTTTGTGCCCACAGAGAGCCAATGGTAAGGGCAGCAGACTCTAGATTCGGCTTCCCCCACCACCAAAAGAGGCACACACGGATCCAGCCACTTAATCTCAGTGGGGCCACTAAGGGTGATCAGGTGATGGAGGCATCAGTCACCTGCCCAGACACCCACTCCAACTCTGCCCACCTCCCTCCCCCAGACTTGGGCTTGTCCCTGGCAGAATTCC